AATGGGTCACTGTCTTATAATCTACTTTATGAATACACCAAAATGATCATTGCACAAGTAATTTCATGGGGGAGAGCTCGTTTGGGTCAATTATTTGCACAGATAGTGCGTAAAAACTTCCAAAGGTTTTGAGATTACAGTTTGGTCTTTGACCCCGTTCTAATTACCCCAAATAATTTGGGTACTCCTTTTGAAAACTGAATTGATTTTGATTTCACCCTGTTAGTCTTACATTTTTCTGTTCGATTCTTCTGTTAATTTCTTCTAGCAGAAGATGGAAGATGGTGTGCCTGGCCGCCGCCTTCCGTTAAAACAGCTGGGTGGCCCAAGGCCTTTGCATCTTCACCTGTTTCTTTTTTTATTTTTTAAGAAAAGGGTGATCTCTTAAATACACCTCAAACAATTTCACTTCTTAATTTCCTATATCCAAACCTCATTCAAAAGTGCAATAGCTTTCTCTGTCATTGTGTATGTTAATCAGAGTATGTACATTGGCAACTATGTCTCACATATTGCAGCCTTGTGTCTCTTGCTTTTCCTTCTGCTCATTGTTTCTTCTTCCTGGATTTCCTGTGAAGTCAGCTCTCTCCACAGAAGTGTGATACAATAACACTTCTTATTTCCCCAGAGGTTTTGACCTGCATTTCATGGAAAGCTTCATTTTAGTCTCATGGAACCAGGGATAAACTAATTTGTAGGAGCTTAAAAAGAACAATGTGTATGAAAATAGCAGGTAATCGATGGTTATTTGAGGCTATTGCTTTAAGTAGAATAACAAGAAGAGCTGAACGAACCATAACACCTACAATATGAGATTCGTGATGCAAAAGATGACTTTTGAAATAAGATGACTTATTAACAATACAAGTAAGACTAGTGGGTGCTGTAGCTTAGGACTTGGGCACCTGAGACTGTGCTGCACAAGTCACTGACGTCAGCTGGGACTGGAGACCTTTCCCACAGCTTCAACAGGGTCAGGCCTCTAATGAAAATACAGGACATGGTCGTTGCTGGTGATAAATGTATCCTTCTGAACAACAACCGTTTCATTAACCTTCCACGCTCAGGACTTCACGTACCGAGCTAGTGCCTTCCAGTATGCACTTCAGCAGTCTGCACTGAAGGACATTTTGCGGACATCCGTTTAGTAAAATTTGATAACAAATAGCTAAACTGTCCGATCAGCTGAGAGTGCTTCATTCAGAGCAATTTAGTTAGCTTCTGTCACCGTATTTTCGGTATAGTGGACCTACTTTTTTTCTTTGAGTGGTGTCTGTCCAGTGCCCTTTTTATGTTGTACTACTAGTGATGATGCACAAAAAGCAGTGCAATGTTAAAAGGGCATTGGCCAGCAATACTGTCTACGTTTCTCGCTATTCCTACTATTACTATAGTCACAAGTCAAAAGTCACTATTGTGTCTCTGAGACCAGAAGGTGATTTGAAAAACAACTGTAAAATGGGATTGCCACTAATTTTTTTTTTCACTCATCTTCTAGTTATTTGCCAAGGAGAAGTGTTTTTTAATGACTGACTTTTTAATGACCCATACCATCAACTCTTGTGTGTGTGCTTCCTTAGAAAGAAGTGCCCTACAAAGAGGAAAGAACACTGTATAGCATTGTTATTTCCTACAGTGTGTTCCAGGGAAACATTACAGGTGTGGAGTTGACTCAGGTTGTTGCTCTGTGTGCATCAGCAATCATCCATCTCGCTCCGCTCCACTCTGCTGTTTCTTTGCATTTAGCTGTTAAGAATCTTGGCGCCTTCAGACCCTGGGAGTTCTCCAACTTTTTATATGAAGTTACTGTTTTTGTTGAAAAGAAACACATTTATTGAGATTTATGATATAAACCCCCATTTTGATGGTGCTCTAAGATCCATGTGGTAAGCCCAGTGGTAATGTATGTCTACAATGTTGGGAAATGAGTCTGCGTTTCAGTGCCTTTTAAAGTGATCCAATACCTGCAAATAAGAAGAATAAACTCAAGTGTCCAGAAAATGTACCCTGTAATGCAGTTTAAGAACATCTGTCTGATAGCAGTTTAGATTCTTTGCTTGCTGTGAGGCAAATCTAAGAAGTAAATACATTTGGAAATGTAGTTTCCAATTAAGAGCACCAAAAGGTTTGAAATTGAATTTCTGACAGATCTGTTGAGCATTTTGCTGGGTGTTTTTCTCCTCTTCACCCCCCCCCCTCCCCCCTTGGTCAGTGGAATGACAGGGATTATGAATAATAATGTCTTGAATATGTGAGTTCTTGTGTGTCTGTATTAGGACTCGGTCAACATTAACCTAATCAAATTCTCCATGATCCACAGAAACCACTATCTGACTCGACCTATGTTTTCTGATACATATTTTGAGTGTATTGATTACTTGTAGAGAATTCTTGCTGCTAACGAATGCTCTGACTTTATTGCACTACTGTACTTTACAGCTAGCAGTGCAATAGTATTGTCAAAGCATCTGAAAGCAGAGCGCGCAGCAATGGCTTGAGTCTGGCCTCACAGCTTCTAACACTTTCTTCTAAGCCTGTGAGTAAATTACAAGTTTGCGTTTCACAAACTGCATTTTCTGTGTGATTGTTGTACAGTACTCATCACACGAATGGTCCTAACCTATAACGTGAAGGAAGAAATAAATATTTATAAAACAAAGAAAAAAATGGATCATAATGGAGGAATACATGGCAGTGCTTATAAACATGCTTTGAAATCGCTGATAATAAACTTTGTTTCTTTTAGAGTTAGCATACTTTCAGGAGAAAGCAGTGATACTGAACCATGTTAACATTTTCATTAAGCACAAATCTTAAAATTATAGCTACATGATGGATAAGCATTCAGCTTCACATACAATTTTTAATGTCTTGAATCATAGTAGTAGCATGGTATTAGTGGCTTACTGCCATCTGTAAATCTCAGATTATCAATCGTAAATATTTCAGGAACAGAGCTTCATGGATATTTTTGAAAGACACCCGTATTAATTGTCTGCTTTCCCAAAAATCAATAATCAAATGGAGGAGTTGGGGAAAAGCAAAAAATGATCTTTTTGGGGTGCCTGCCTCTAGAAATGAAAACCTAAAAATGTTCACTAGTGGAGGAGAAGAGAAACGATTGATCAGTTAGGAAGAATCCCTCATGAACTCTTTAAAAATGCATAGTGTAATAAAAAGTATTTTATTCTCTCATTTTATCATGACTGGTTTCTGGGGTAGATGTGGAAAGGAGTTTTGTTGGGCAGATGGTAAGTTATGGGAGTAACGGGTGAAAGCTTTCCCTTTGATTTATAGAAGCTCAAGGTCTTTACTAGATTTATTTTCCTTTTCTTAACCTATTACTTGAAAATTTGCTGAAGTTGTGTGCATATATATATATATGAAAGATCATAGATTTTCACTACACCGGAAAGGGGATTTTATTTGCAGAATACCTTGTATCAAACACTCTTCCTTCAGGCTGTCTGAAGTTATAGATCCTCTAAGGTATTAATGGCAGTTCTGAAGGTGGATCCCAAGGCTGATGTTTAAAGCACAAACATCTTTTTGTATCCAGGCCTGACTGCAGGCTACGGCCAAAGACTCAGTGACAAAGTTTGTCACCTTAGCTGCCATTCCAGCACTGACAGTTAGTACTGTGGCATAGAGTTAACAAATATAGCCTTATTTTGATCCTTTAAAAAGTTGTATCTCAATATAAATAGTGAAAGCCAAGTTAAGTAAGTTACAAGCATTTTTAACTTGCTTTTGTCATTGTCTCTTCTGTGATTGTAAAATAACCAAATGATTACGTTAAAAAATTCATGAGTTGTTTGTCAACAGGGAAAACTGCCTTTCTTTAAAGCAGGAGTCCTTAATAGATATTAAAATTGCAGACTAAAATTAATTAAGTAATAATGCTATCAGCAGACTGTTTTATAAGGCAATTAGATAATTCTCTGGTGGCTTATTTATCCCAAGGAAAGAAATGTGATGTCATCAATTTTATTATCTATTTGTCAGTCTGCTTTGTTGGAGAATAATAAAATGTATTATGGGTTTTACAACCATCTGAGAGAATGCATTCCTAATGTAATTAATAATAAAATCTTTGTTGATATGCTTGGATCCTGAACACTTATTCATAATCTCTGCTGAGTAAATAACTGCGTACTGCAGTTTTGCTAACAGAACTTTTAATGTTTGAAAAGAAAAGCAACTAGCCAAGAAAAAGCTTTAAAAATTGGTGGAAAATATGTTAATATCTCAGGGGGGGAAAAAAAAATCAAACATCTCCTGCAACAAGTGAAGATCAGTTTTTAAAAGATGCATGTTCTTTTCTATTGATGTAACTTAACTCTTTGGTGTACTAAAAAACTTCATCTTGAGAGGTTTGGCATTGCAAGGGAGATGGAAGATAATATAGGGGGAGACGGAAATGTTCCCATGCACTTTGGGGAGCTGCATGAAAAATTTCAAAGAAAGTCACATATACTTCCAGGTCCTGACTCCTGTACCTGGGCTGGTTTAGGAGGAGGAAGACATCTTGTGACGCAAAAGCATATATGCCCTTCGAGGCATTCTGTGCTCTCCCAGAGAAGTCTCCACCCATTGTATGCATCTTGCCACTGCCTGTCTGGCCATATGCAAAGCATGTCGCCTTCCCACCCTCAAAGATGGTCTCTACGAGAGGTCTAGCAGTGAACCTGTATACCATTTCATTAGAAGAAGATTCATCAAATGAAAAATCAAATCTAAATGCTTGGGTTTCGAGATATTTTGTTAGGTCCACTTTCTGCTTTGGCTCATGCACCAGCAGGACACACTTGCCCGGAACAGTAATCACATCACATTCCTTTTTTAGAAGTTCTTGTTTATTGAGAGGGCGCTTCCTCACACAGACACAAATCCGATGTTCTTCTCTGGGGTCAGTTACAGATATTGGCTGGCAGTCTGAAGTTGCTCTGAATTCCTTGATCATCCGTGCAAACTCCCAGTTGGGACAGCTGCTGTCAAATTCCTGTGCACGTTTTGCCCTGATTTCACTAATTTGAGCTCTCAAACGGCAAGATGCGAAGAGAACAACTGGGTAATTTGGCTTAGACAAATGGAAAGAGCGTAAAATGAATAAAGTGTGTGTGTACACACGCACGTAATTCCTACACGTGAGAGGAAAACGGTTATGTTAAGTCTGAAAGTTTATTGCTTTCTATCTTTCAGGCTAGAAGCGTGTCAGCGTAATTGGCAAACCTTAGCTAATGGAATGCATTGGAGGAATAGAAACTTAATTTTATAGTAGATGAGCCTTTCAAATGGAGGCATCTGGCTTCTGCTTTCCTGAAATACAGGAAAGGCGAACGGTTGGGTTTTGTCTGCAATTTTTGTTTTTTAATATACTGTGGCTGACATTAAATATTTTAGTTCCAGAAGGCAGAATCTGATCTGGATTATATTCAACACAGACTGGAGTTTGAAATAATGAAAAGTCTTCCTGATAATCCAGCAGCAGAGGTAGTATTTTCAGATTAAACGAATAGATTTTATTGCATTTTGCATAAAGTTGGTAATAAATGGGTAATTTTCTTTAATCCTAAAATATATATGGCTCGTCTTTGATCTAGTTGTTGATTGTTATTGATTGTTATTTCATTGTTGTTTATTGTTATTATCAAAGTATTTCTTGCATCATATATAAAGATAACTGGCCTAATGTTAATTCAGTGCAGAAACCAACAAAACTTCCCTGATTTCTTGTCATAATGAAATTCTCCCATGTTTTGCTTTGAGAAATGAGTAGTAGTGTTAACACCTAAATTTACGAGACGGGTTCCAGTCTGAGCTAAAACATAACCTTGCTCTGAGATCAAAAATGAACTTACTAATAAGCAATGATTAAATTCAGATTTGGGGGAGAGATGAAAGGAAAACAACAAATGGCATCACGCAAAGGGTTTTATAAATAAGTCCTTGTCTCCATGTATATTGTGACATATAGTGGGAAAATAATCTTTTTAGTTAGAAGTCCCTAATTTATTCCAATGCAAAAAGCATTAAAATTCACCACCACAAGAAATTCATCCTCCTGTATTTGTTGTGGAAACATGAAGTTGTGCTGTTTTATTAACACTTATCATTTTTGCTTATGAAAAATGTATAGATGAAACGTGCTCACAGCTACACTTTTCATTGTAAACTTTTCATGTTGTATTTTAGTGGCTCTAACGCTGACATTTTTAATTGGTATGTGGCCACATTAGTTTTCTCTTCTTAAAATAGTTTAAATGTACTTTTAATTTCTACATAGGAAAATCCAGTTGCTCTCTTGGAAGAACTCTCAGTGGTGAAATCTCGTTATAAAGCGTTATGTACGCAGCTGGAAAAAGTTTCCATAGAGCAGAGAGAATCCATGAAGGGCATCTGTGCTGCTCTGGAGAACACAATGAAGATGGTTCAGACATTACAGCAACATACTGATCTTGAGGTAGTATTTTCATTTCAATCACTCGGGTCTCACTCCTGTAAGTGAACACGTAGTTGTGTAACTTTTACGTAGATGTGAGCAGTTCCACTGGAAACTCTTATACGTGCAGACTCATAGAAGACTCTTAGAAGGTAAGAAGAACGCTTACCAGAAGAAACATTTGCAAGATTGGAGGTCTTTTTGTAAATCACAAGCCTGATTCATCACTCAGCAGTTAAGCTAGTGTATTCAGGTTTGGAGTTGAAGTAAGACCATGATAGTGTGAATAGTGACACACTTTTGAATAGTTTCATAGAAATTGATGCCTCTGTGCACTGCTGTGTGCCGGTTCTATACTGACTTTTTTAAAAGTAGCTACCTTAAAGAAATTAGAAAGTGAAACCAATTTTAAAAGGCAAAAAAGCTTTTAAATGGCAATTGTGTTTTCACTGTCTAAGATGAGTAAGTTAAAACCAACACATTATTACAAATATGGTGGAATTGCTGGTAGTGCAAAGAAATGAGTTTTTCTCTGTATCCATCTATCTATTAAAAAAACCCAACAATGAACAACACATTTCCATAAGTGGTCTTCAGACACTGCTTCATTACAATTTTGAAGAGGTTATGAAAGCCTTAATTTTGTCCCTTTACAAATAAGGTGATTTAGATCCAAAAAGCTCATTGATAGTCTAGTGGCAACGGCAGAACTGTTGGGACTAAAACACATTCCCAGATCTGCGCTCTCACTTTAGTGTTCTAATGACAGTGCCCCGAGCTTGTGTTTAATCTGTCAACAGCTCTAGACAAGTTATTTGTAAGTCTTTATAGATAAAATGTTCTGGAGAGTGATTTGAAATACAGTAGTTATATGTCACAGAAAAAATATTTTCTCTCCCTGTGTTTCAAGGATATGCTGCTAAGAATAATTTCAGATTTGGATTTTGTTGAAGTGAAAGACTCTTGTCTCTTGAGTTATGTTTAGACTTTTTAGATAAAGATTTTTGTATATTTTTTGTATTTCCTAAACCAAAGATTGAGTAAACTGTTATGGAGAAATGTAAGCCCTTAAGTGCAATACTTCTTTTTATTGAATATTTTATCTTCTTTCCGCTGAATCATTTCTAGTATTGATGCTAAAGGAATATTATGGTTGAATTTTCAGAAATATTCAGCTTGTAAGTTTGCTTTCATTTGAAGCAAAGTAGGAGTCTACTATTCCTTTCCATGAGAAAAGGGCTACACAAACATTGAGCTCTTCTGTAAATATCGTCACCCTAGGAACTGAAAGTATCAGAGTTCTCTGTTTGTATTTTTTCTAGCGCTTGCCTCTGTCAGAAGAAGAACAGACTGCAGCACAGCAGTTAACCTGCCAAACTGTTAAAGAAATGGAATCACTAGTGGAAGAGGTAATTGGGCCGCAGTATTCCAGAAACCACTAATCCTGAGTAGCTCAACTGAAGTCAGAAGGGCTGGTTTTGTCACTTAATACCTCTCAAATGAACAGCATTTTTCAGAAATGGGACTAAAGTTTCTCACAAACCCTTTAATTTTTATTGTATACTGATTGAGCTTATGATTTGTTCCAATTAAATTGTCCACGAAGGAAAAAAATTGCTTTGATGGAAGACTTTGTTCCCCTTATTTTTTAATTGGGATATCTTCATGTTTCTGTTCAGCGCTGGCAGTTGATTGCTTTTGTCGATCCTATTGTTCTGTTAACGCATTATGTAAGAAGCCTTTGGGTGGGAGTGAAGAATGTAATTGATTCAAACCAATGTATATAAAAATGAAGAGAAATTTAATTTCCTGGAAAATAGCAAATAAATTTTTGAATATGAGTAACAATAAGTATATTCTAAGTGTAATGCAGCAGAACATAGATGTAAACTAATATATGTTAAAAAGTCATATATTCTCCCATAGCTACTCAAGCAGAAACTTCTAATATAATTATCTGCAAAGATTTGGTCTGGGTCTCATATTAAAAGCAAAATATTAAAGAAGGTTAGTAGAGTGTAAATAATTATCTTATTGACCTTATCTTTTTCTACATGTCTTCTCACTGCCCACTACTCTTCTGTCAAAGGATGCCTCGCTTTCTGTCCCTTTACTGCCACAGTTGGTTTGCGTGGAAATCGCCCAGTATCTTGCAGCCTCATTCACGCTTCGTTTGCAAATATCTTCTCCTACCTTGATAAATGCTCTTTAATTTCTGTCTTTCCATTATTTAATTCTAAAGCGCTGAAGATACAGCTGGCATAAACCAGGCCCAGTGCAAAATGCAGCTATATCCTACAGCTACTGAGCCAGTTCAGTTGGTATCAGTCTCTATGTTGTCATTGAGTGTGTTTCGAAAATGTTCTCTGAAAGGCAGAAAGAATGGAAATATGTCACAGAGGCCTTGGGATTTTTTTGTCAGAGCTGTGTTTCTGGCTGAGGAGAGTTAGGTACAGCTTTCTTCAGCTTGTCAGAACTGTCAGCCCCTGAAGGTTGCTTGAGAATAGCAAAGCCATCTTCTTCCTTCGCTGCATGTGCCTTCAGCTCGATCCATGCTGGAATGCAAAGGAGAAAGCTGAAGAGGCTCATCTGACTTGAAAATAAATCTTTCTGTATCCGTTTTAAACTTATTTTTATTTGAACGCAGGGTTTGTTTAATGTCTAAGATTTTGTTGTTGACTTCAGCAGCTGCAAGATCCTTGGTTATCCAATGGTAAAATGTAATTGCTCATGCAGAAATGAAATCGTAAAAAATGATTTCTAAACAAAATTCCAACAAATCCTGACATTGTTGCTTGTTTATTTTTAGCCATTTTCTTCAGGATCTACAGTCCCTGGCTCAACTGAAGGTAAGTGTTGAAAGAAAAATCTTCCTGCTGGTTTGGTTTGGGTTTTCAGTTTTTTTGGTTTTTTGAAAAAAGCAGATATTGTAAATAACTTCAGCTGACAAATCAGGGCTGTTTTACCCCTAGTACAACAGGGGCAAATCTCACACTAAGTAGTAATAGGCTGGGACCTAGGTATGGTTTTTGAGCTCTTTTATTTAAAAAATAGAGAGCCTATGATGCACAGTAAATTCACAATTTTTACTCTCAAGTGCTAGGAACTACTGCTTTTATGTGAAGAATTTAGACTTTAATACAAGCAAGTGTGCCCTTAGTTATATTCCGCATATAGTTCTCAGGTTTCTGGGAGTTTTTCTTGCTTTTGATGGTATTGAAGCGGATAGTGTTGTGTTTATGGTCTGAAGAAATGATGTACTAGTCTTACCATAGAAGTAGCTCTTGAATCCATTTATCCCTACTAATAGAAAGGAATTTTCCTAGTTCTTAAAAAAAAAAAAAAAAAAAAAAAGAAAAAAACCTAGTCACTGACAGACCAAATTTATTAATCCCCATCAGATCTCAAATGAAGTGACTTTTCCCTGGGTCTGCAGATACAGTGATAGTTTGGAGGGAGCATCTTCCATCTCTCCTTCCTCCTGCTGGAAAATCTTCCTTTAGACCCATTTAGGGGGGGCTTCTTAAAAAGTAATGAAAGTATTTTCTATCTTTGGCCTGATTTCTGAAGAACCAAATATCTTCTATTTCCAATTTTTTAGTATCGCAATTCAAACCATTGACTGAGGAAACACTTATGACTGTACCAAGGAGTATCAGAAGTACTGTTAAACTAGCAGACTTGAACAACTTGTACAGGGAGCTATTTAACCACTTCATTGTAAATAAGAACAGGTAAGACTTAAAGCCATTCATTAGTAAAAATTTTATAAGCCGTAACAAAGTTCAGCCTTTTCAAATGAAACAAAACCAGCTAGTTAACCGTTTGCTGCTATATTACAACTTCATAATTTGATTTTAACCGTTACACTCTTCTTGGTTAGGTACATACCCCAAAGTGTCAGGCCATCAGACAAACCCCTCTAAGTTAATTTGTATAAAAATGGTTTGTGTGATTCCATAATTTTCAAAACTGAACACCAGGTTCTTTGGAAACAGGTTTCTTCACTTTGGTTTCACTGCACAGATGTCCAAAACTGGGTCTATTCAGGAAAATTTTGCTGATGCAGTCATGCTGCCAAACCTTTTAGCTTTTGGAATCTGCATCCAGACTGGACAAGCAAATCCCTAATGCTGAACCATGACCCCTGTGACCCCTGCCCTCCCCACACCGACCCCTCCGGCCTGCCCGCACCCTGACCCTGTCTGGGATGTGTGCTGTGGATTTCTTGCAGGCTGATATTAAAAATGAGGAAACTTTTAACTTGGGAATTCTGTCTCTTTAAACCTAATGCTGGATTAGGAAATGACTGTTCTCAATTTGAGGTAGCACAGAAAAACCGATGACAATCTGAATAAGCGTGACAGTTACAGAGCACTCACGAAAATCATTCATTAAACAGCGTGCACTTTTTAGCCTTTTTCTGCCAGACCTGATGTTTGATAACCTGGTTTTGCTAAGTAGTTTGCTTCTGTCTTACAGAACAGCATTGAGCGTTTCGCAGATGAACAAGATGAATATGAAAGCCACTGACTCAAGAATACGAATCTTGAAAGAACTTGCTATTGTGGAACTTGACAAACAAGGAAATGTTAAATCAGTCATGTAAATGAAAGCTCGGTCCCTTCTCATTTGACACGCAAGCATCTTGGTCATAGCTCCTGGATTATTAAGCAAGTATTTCTCTGGTGTCTAGGAGTTATAAGTCCATTGCTGGAAAGCCGTTCATCTTTCTGTATACAAATTCTTCCTGAAAATTGGAGGGTTAAAAACCATCGAGGTTGGTATTTTATCCTGGATATTTATAGGACCATAGTCGATGCATTTTTGAAGGGTATTGTTAGCCAGGGGACGCTTCCATATTCTTGCTTACATTCCTGAGTGGGTTTTAAGACAAATAACCCAAGCCACTTAATTGTACTTGCATTCCTGAATAAATGATAAAAGCTAAGGAGACCAGGACGTAGATTTATGACGCTTTTGTTTACGTGACTCCTGACCCTGAGCCCTGCCCTAGCCCCTGAACCTGGGCCCTGACCCTTCTCATTTTCCTTTGATGTCAACTGCCTTGGTTTTTTTTTACAGTCCAGCAAAACTGCAGAGGCACAGAATAGCTGGGGTTGGAAGGGCTCTGGAGACTCTCCCCTGCACATGACAGGGCCAACCACTGCTGGTTGCTCAGGGCAGCGTCCTGAAAAACTCCAAATATGAAAACTTCACGACCCCTCTGGGCAACCTGTCGCCGTGTTTGACCACCCTCACAGTTAAAAGGGGGATTCTTTTTTTCTAATGTTTAATGTTTTTATGTTTATTTCAGCCTTATCTGAGAGAGCCAGAGATCTGAAGTTTATTATGTTCCTACAGTTTTTGTGAAAAATGATGGCTCTTAAAGAAGAAAAATTTAAATTGGCATCCGTAAGGAAGGGAAAGGCTGATTTTTGAACTGAATCAATTAACTGGTTGGTCTGTTTAGAGTTTGTTGGGAAGAAGAACAGGGCATCACAGAAGAAATGGGAGGAAAGGACAGGGATAACTTCATTTTTATGATGTCTGCTGCCGAGCATGCCCTTTTAGCGACATGGTTGCTATCACTTCACAACCTCATTTAATATTTAAGCATTTAGACTTGATCATATCAATTCATTTTCAGTACAGGACTCGATCCTTACTACCTTCAACAGTATTAAAGATTTAATTTACTGGTGAAATCTGGCTAAAATAATTAAAGATACCCATTAGTGGAAAAACAACTGCATCTAAGATTGCGCTGCGTGCAATTTAACTGCAGCTGCAGCCCCGAGGATGGTTTCCTTGTGTTTCCAAGGCCACGCGGGACGTGGCAATCCATCCCTGCAGCAAGATTTTTGTTTAGCGCTGCCTCGCTTGCACTCACTCCCGAAATCAGCGCCGGGTCCCTGAGCGCAAAGCTCAGCCTTGAAACCCCGCAGCCGCACGTTCCTCT